GTTCCCCCCAACACTCCCCTTCTTCACAGGCCCCACTGCCCATTAACACAGCTGGCCCCAGAATAGCTCTTTGGAAAATGCAGCAGCTGGTGCTTATATTTCTGGAGCTGGAACCAGTCTCCTTTGACATCAAATAGGTTTATTTTTCCCTTCCCTTCCCTTCCCTCCCCTCCTGTCCCCTCCCTTCCCTTCCCTTCTGCCTGCCACCACACATGGTGACTCCAACCCTGATCTGCCCCCCCAAAAAACCCCTCATACTCAGCTCCGAACAAGACCATGAGAAATGGTTGGCTCTGCTCCCTGTTCCAATGGACTTAAAGGATGTGGTTGGTTGTTCCATGAAAAAGGAGCCTCATCAGCCCAGTGAATCACCCCTAGATCACTTCCCTCTACAGAGAAGAAACGGTTTCCATTCATGTGCATGTGTGTGCGTGCATATGTGTATGTAAAAGACAGACACACAGAATAAGAATGATGTGAAGAAGGCAGTGCTGACCTCTATGTGTCACTGATCTCATGGTTAGGATCCTCCATCCCCTTACCTGGAGCAACCTCTCTTCTCTCCCAGTCTGCATTCCTTCCCTTCTCAGCTTATCAGGGAACCATCTCTAGACCCCAATGCTCAACCAGGATCTCTACCAGGTCTGAACAGCTGCTCCCTGTTTATTGGTTTCGGGTGTTCTGGGTGCTTTCCATGGGCCAAGCGGCCCAGCATCCCACCAGACTGAACAACTGGGACTTCCTGTCAGCCTAGTCTTGCCTTTTCTCTCAGCCTCACCCATGGGTCCTAGATGTGCTTCAGTGCTTTGGTGTTCTCAACACCCAACAGTATGCAGGGACTGCCCACAAAATTATCTCTGGCAAACTTCCCCAAAGCACTGTGAGGTGACAGGTGAGGACACTGAGCCTAAATCACTGGTCCAAGCTTGCACAGTTAGAAAATATCAGAAGCAGGATTTGAACCTCAATCTGACAGATACTACTTCCATAATGAAGTGGGCCTAAAGAAGGCTCTTCCCAATCTGAGGTTGCATTCTTCGCTCCTGTGGGGGCTGGAGTCACAATCTCAGGGCTTAAAAAATAAAATGAAGAGCAAAGAAATGAATGAGTTTGGTGCCAATTCCTAAAAATAGAGCTTCCAGGACCAAAATCTATGATGATCTAAATACAGGGAGAATGGATTTAATTCCATAGAATCCACCCTTCATTCATCACTCCCTAGTCACCATCCTCCCAGGGGCCTCCCCCAGCATGGTCAGTCAAATTCAGTTCCATGGCTCACAATGGACATCCTTTCCAGAAGGCAGCCCTCAAATGCCACCCTGTGTCACTCTTTCACAGTTCTACAGTAATAAGTGTCATTCCTCTTTGGCACATAAACTGACCTGCCTTTATTTAGCTCTGATGTGAGCTCATTGGGAGACCCCAAGCAACTGATCAGCTTCTCCAGGCTTAGGTTAATTCATCTATAATAAGGAATCAAAGCACCTCTCCCCACACTGGGTCCAGCAGATAAACCATCAGAACCCAAGAAGAATATGCTTGTGGGCATTGGGCATCCTGGAAGGTAGCTGCTGACACTAGCTGTTACTTGCATTCCCTGGAGTCCTGCAGAGGATCAGAGCATTCATGACTGGTATTTGTCTGAAATAAACACTAAGGAAAGGAAACCACTGCAAAAGCATGACACCTTCCAAATCCAAACAGATATAATGTCTCCTTATCCTTGGATAAATGAGCTTCTCTCTACCACCAGATGACTCAACATGCACCTATATACATGCCTGTGTGAAGAATTATGTGATTCTGAACTCACAACCGTGTCAGTAAACTTTCCAATGGAGGCAGCTCTGTGGCTTGCATCCAGCATCTACAGGACCCTATCAAAGACAAGCAGTCTGAAGCCAAAGCCAGTTTACCTAAGGTCTCTTGAGGGATAGCTCATGAGAGCTAGGACAGGGGTCCAATTCCCTGCCAGGGAGGCTGACCTAAGCAGCTGCTGCTCACCCTTCCAAGCCCCACCCCACATAGGGGCTAGCAGAGAGGAAGGAAGCCAAGGGCTGTTGACACTATGCACACGATGGAAGATGGAGGCTATCTGCCTGCCTTTCATAAACAGACCCAAAGGACCAGGCCCCAGGTACCTCCATAGCTCCTGTTCCCTGTGAGGATGCACACACCCTCTGCCGGATGTCCTGAGAAAACCTTTGCATGTGTGCCCAGTATTCTGGAACCAGCTCAGCTCCTCTGTTTGGGCTCCAAGTCTCTCTCATCAGCGAGCTCAGGTTAACATGCATATCTATAAAATCTCTCTACTCTGCAATTTACCAAACCACAGGCTCAGCACTCACCATCAGTGGCAGGAAGGCTGGAAGGAGATAAACTTCTCCAATGTAGAGCTTACCAAAACTTGGGTGACTTGGGGGCAGCTTGTCCTGCCAGCTAACCATGCTAGAGTGCCTTACCCAGAACACCTGCCCTTCCTGTCAAGAAGGAAGGGGATCTCAAGCCTCAGAGTCCCAAATGTGTAATAGCATCCCTATAACTAGATTTTTGTCCTCCTAGTCAACTCCACCAGACTCAGGGTACCTTCAGTGAACAAAACCCACACCACAGGCAAAAGGCCAGTTAGCCCCAGTGCTGTGACTAACTGCAATGCACATTAGCCATCTCAGTTCTCAGTTTTCTCATCTGTAAATGGGTTTGTGCCAGCTCCATAATGCCACAACATACAACACTCTCTCCTCTCATTGTTTTCTAGAAACTCTGTGTGGTGCCATCTGCTCCATGACATCACCCTGTGTCTCAAAAATCACGTCATCGATTTTTACACGGGAAGTGGAGATGACCCAGGAATACTCTGTCTGTAGAAAAGGAGGAAATGATCATTTCAAGGGAACTAGACAGGACTTCTTTTGTATTTTGCACACAGTACACATTATTATCACCCTTAAAATACGAAGACTCTCTTCCTTTTGGCCAGACCATTGCTTTTCAAAAATACTTTCTTAGTTAGAAGCTCACTAACAGTTAGCTACCATTTAATGAGTGCCTCTTATGTACCCAGAACTGGGCTAAGTGCTTCACATAGATGATGTCATTTAATTCTCCTGACAGCTCTAATAAGTTCAGACTATTAATATCCTCACTTTAAAACAAGGAAACTGAGGACCACGGAGGCTTAAAGATTATGCCCCAATGCTGTACAGCCAGTTAGTGGCTGAGCCAGCCTTTTAGCAAGACCAAATAGTACCCAGCCTATAACCACTGGCTTTCAAAACTGCCTACAGCAGGTCTTCCTTGTTTGCAGTGCTAGTTTGTTGCCCATGTATCTTAGATTTGTAACCTTGGGCATCACTCACTGGTCAGAACTAAAATTTGATGTTTCATGTAAAACTCCAAAGCTGGAATAGCCCCTGCCTGGGTCTCAGAGTAGAGACCGCCATCTGTTGAAAGCAATACCAGCTTCAACTGAAGACTAGAAAAGAGAATCCTTAAAACAGCCTGCTGTGCATGAGAAAAAGAACTCAGGAAGGTTGGCTCCACACTTAAGCCTAAGATGTACGAGTGGGTATCTGTCTTTGGCGCAGAGTGGTGACCTGGTGACTCAAGCCCTCCAGAAGTTTTTTCTTGTTTTGTAGGGCTGGAAATAGAACCCCGTGCCCCAAACATGCTAGTCAAGGGCTCTACCACTGAGCCACCTCCTCGGCCCTTAAAAGGAGTTTTCTTCTAATGGCAGTGGAAGAAGCTTCTTGAATCTGATGACACAACTGGAAAGACTTCCTGACTGTGTGTCCCCCATAGATCTACCTCCCTTCCTGGTCACTCTTACCTGCTCCCCAACCTGCTAGTCAACTGGAGAGAACCCTGTCTCTAGGGCTGTGGGTGATCGAAGCACAAAGAGTAGCCTGATGCCCACAAACCCCAGCTCCTTTCCAACAGGTAAATAAAAGGTACATCAGAGAACAATGTGCAATCTCGGGCAGCAACCAACAGCCTGTTTTAATTGTTAAAGTTAATGCTTTGAGCATTCTAAAAAGCTCCCTTAAATGACTAATTTGCAAATAAGATGCTGCCCAGCTATCCCCACATCAACTGTACTTTGGCTCTTCTGTGTCAAGTGCAGGAGCAGAGCACACCAGCCATCCTTAAGAAGCAGGACTAGGTGTTTACTTCCTAAGGTGTGAAGGATGGGGAGACAGGACCGGCTGAGATGAAAGGGGACTGTCACACACCCTGGAGCCCAGGCGGTCAACCTTAGCCCCTTCTCATTAAGTTTGGGTAAGAAGGGGGAGGGGCGGCCAGGCCAGTCAACCGTGCCTCAGAGACCACAGCCCACATTTGCCTACTCGTGTCTGGAGACAGAGCATCACTTAAGAGGAAATGACCCCGGCTAAGGGTCACGTCCAGAGGAGGGATAAAAGGAAAAGCCACAGTTCTCCTCACACCACGGGACACAATGGCTTTAAGAAGGAAATCAAAGCTCTAAGCTAAGAGTGGAGGGGACAGGGGACAGGGGACGCTCTGCCCCCAGACCCCAGCCTGGGCAGGCAGAGCAGCAAAAGAGGGAGGTAGAAAGCGAAGCGTGGGTCCCTAAGCAAGCAACTGAAAGCCTTCCGGGTCCGGTGAGGGTGAGTGAGAGCGCCTCGCGCCCCCAGGGAGCGCGGGGAAGATGCTCTTTCCCAAAGGAACTACTCCGCAAAGGGCTGGCGAAAGCTTCCCCCACCATCCATCAAAGCTCCGGCGGACACATGACTTCAACATTGTAACAGACAAGGGCAGCCACTTGCCAATTGCAATGCCAAAAAAAGAAACCCGGGACAGGGGAGTGGAGGAAGGACAGAAAAGGCTTCCCTAGAGATCACAGCCCTGCGAACAAACTCCAGAGCCAGGGGCTGCCCTGGGGACACCGACAAGCTCCGGGACGACAGGAGGCGAGGCGAGGGGCCACCGTGGGCCCTGGCCAGACCCCCACGAGGGTCGGTGGGAGCAGTACTCACATAGTGTTTGGAGGGGTTCCTCCGCTTCTCCACGTCCACCACGGTGGCATCTTGCACACAGTAGGCGAGCATCTTCCTCACAAAGCGAGTGGCGCCCCCAGGCGGCGTCACCGTCTCATCCCGGCCGGGTCCCCGCGCCTACGCGCCACCCCTGCCCCACGCGCCGATGGCTGTTCAAACTCCGGGCGCCTACAGCTACAGCTCCGGGATGGGCGATGCTCCTGCAGGGCACGCGGGCTCCGTGCGCCCGGGGCTGCTCCCGTGGGCCCTGCCGCGCGCCCCTTCCCTCCCGCGCTGCCGCTCAGCTCGCGCCCGCTCGGTCTGCCGCCCCGTGGGGCCGGCGGGAACTGGAGGAGCAGAGGAGGGCCGGGGGTGTGTCCCGCCGGCGAGGGCACGGGGCGGGGGCCCGGGCTGCTGTCAGCTCGCCGGGGAGGGGCCGGCG